CGGGGTTTCACCGTGTTGACCAGGATGGTCTCGATCTCTTGACCTCGTGATCCACCCGCCTCGGCCTCCCACAGTGCTGGGATTACAGGCTTGAGCCACCGCGCCCGGCCTAGCCTGGCTCATTTTTATACTTTTAGTAGAGACAGGGTTTCACCATGTTGGCCAGGCTGGTCCCAAACTCCTGACCTCAGGTGATCCACCTGCCTCAGCCTCCCAAAGTGCTGGGATTACAGGTGTGAGACACTGCACCCGGCCCAGAATGAGTATTTTTAAACATCTAAAACTGGTCACATCGCATCTTCTGGCAGCAAACCAAAAATCCCCTCTCCCAGCAGCACTCAGTCCTCCATGGGAAGAAGTCCAAAGTCCTCACGGTTGCTGGCCAGGCCTAGCATGGTCTCAGCCCTGCTGCCGGTTCCCTTCTGCTCTTCCTAGAAAGCTGATGTTGCTGGTGCAGCCTGTGGAACCCAGCCTGCTCCCCTCCACACGTGGTCCCTATGGCCTGAAAGGCTCCTCCTCTAACCCCTCTCGCCCAGCCCACTCCTGCCACTGCTAAGCTCTTGCGGGGAACACTGAATGCTGGGAAGGCCACTGACTACCTAGCATGACCGCTGTGTTCACTGATAAGCCGCCAGGAGGAAACCATGACTCTGCGGGGCTCGGTGGGCCCTGGGAGTCTATATTCACCCGTTTTCCCAGGTGAGTAGGAGCCAGACCTGGGTGTCCTAGTTTTGCGCCCTTCACCAAGTACCTTCTCCCCAGAGCTGGTTTTTCTCCTTTGCAACACAGCTGGCTGCAGAGATTCCAGGAGAGCATGTTGGTAAACCACCCAGGTGGGCCTCTGGCACTGACTGTTACCTCCATGGGCTATTTCTTCACCCCAGGAGGGGCTGAGAGGTGAAGACCTGCCCAGGGGCATGTGAATGGGGAACCCTACCCCAAGGCAGCAGGTGGGGTGATGTCCCACCCCCAGGGTGTGTGGGAGGTAAAATCCCAAGGAGCAGCTGGAGGGGAGTAGTGAGCCCCGAGTCTGACCTTCAGCGTCAGCAGCAGCTGGACCGCATTGGTGAAGGGCGTGGGAGTAGGCAGGCCAAGCAGGCTGAGGGCTCGGAAGAACAGGAGATAGGAGAAAGTCCAGGCCAGAGCCAGGGCGTGGCAGGAGCTGGGCAAAGGCAGGAGGCACGTTGTGTTGTGTTGGTCTCAGCCTTGGCCTCCCTCTCCCCCAGTCCAGCCACCAATCCTCCCCCAGCTCTCCCCATTTGTTCAGAGACAGAAACACAGAAGGGCAGAGAGAGGACTGGAGGGAAGACGTGGGGATGGAACGAGTATGACTGAAACGGGAGAAGAGGCTCAGCCACACAGAAACACACAGCAATAGAGAAGAATGAGGTTCAGAGGAGCTTTGGGTGAAGACCCTGCAATCCTTCACTTTTTCTTTATTTCCAAGGTCCGGAGCTCAAGAAGAGGGGGGTGGATATGAATATGAATGGTGGCAGGGCCAGCAGACACAGTGTCCTTCTCTCTCCATGACATAGATGTAGCAGACTGGGACAAACACAGAAGAAGGCAGGGGAGGAAGAGAAACAGATGAAGGCCAGGCGCGGTGGCACACGCCTGTAATTCCGGCACTTTGGGAAGTGAAGGCAGGCGGATCACCTGAGGTCAGGGGTTCGAGACCAGCCTGGCCAACATGGAGAAACCCAGTCTCTTTTTGTAAAATTGTTTTTATTTTTTAAACTTTTTACCCATAATTTACAACCATTTTCTTTTTCTTATTTATTTCAGCCTCTACTAAAAATATAAAATTAGTCAGGCGTGGTGGCGCATGCCTGTAATCCCAGCTACTCAGGAGGCTGAGGCAGGACAATCACTTAAACCCGGGGAGGTGGAGGTTGCAGTGAGCTGAGATTGTACCACTGCACTCCAGTCTGGGCAACAAGAGGGAATCTCCGTCTCAAAAAAGAAAAAAGAAAAGAAAAGAAAAAGAAACAGATGACACAAAGAAACAAACTGATCAACAAGAGACAGCCAGAGATGAGGCAGAAACTGAGAAAGACACAAAGAGGAAACAGGTTGCTTCCCCCTCTCCCCTCCTCTCCCCTCCTCTCCCTCTCCGCTCCCCTCCTCCCTCCCTCAAGATTCTCACCAGGGCTGGGCCTGAATGAGGGCCCAGGTCCCGAGGATGGTGATCAGAGAATGCAAAGTGTGGGGGCCACAGGTGAACAGGGTGAGCCCCAGGCCCACTGCGGCTGCCCCCCATCTCTTCAGCCCAGGACCTGCAGGGGGAAGGGACAGCATAAGCCTGGAACCTTCCAGAGGGTCCCCCCCTTATTTTCCACTGGGGAGGGAACTTGACTCACCAGCTTTCTTAAAGAGGAAGCCGATGGGGATGGAGATAAGAAGAACCACTAGATACGTCCATTCTTCTGGAGACATGGTCTGGGGGAGGGGCAGATTCACTGTGAGAACCCAGGAATCCAGGCCTCCTGCCTCCTCCCTCTTCGAGGATCCAGGAACCCAGCCCTCTGGACCCCAGTTATTTAGGATTCCGGAGTCCAAGCCTCAGCGCCTCTCCTTTGAGAACCTAGGAGCCCAGACTCGAGTTCCTTCATCCTTGGAGGAGACAGGAATCCACCCCCAACCCCTCTCCTTTGAGAGCGCACAGGGCTCCAGCCCTCCTCTCCTCTGAGAACGCAGTAAAGCCTGGGGCTCTCCCAGTACCCAGGCCCCACCTTTTCAAACGCAGAAATCAAAGCTACTCCCTGCACCCATGCTGAAGACGCCCCTCCTTAAAAAACCCAGAAGGAGCACCCCTCCCGGACCCTTCCTCTTCGAGAGCCCAGGAGTCTAGACCTCCGAGCCCCTCTTCCAGCGAGGATCCAGGAGCCCAGACCCCCTCTTTGCATCCCCCATTCCCCGGCCCTTGTGAAACCAGATATTCGTACCCCCCAGCCCTTCTCCTTCGAGAGCACCCAGAGGAGCCCGGGGCTCCAGCCTCCAACCCCTTTGGAGCTCCAGACCCCTCTCCTATTGAGAATCCGGGGATCGGAGCCCCTCCTTTCCCCAGGCCCAGGCCCAGCATGTCCCGCGCACCCCAGCGTGGGTCGGATCCCACTCCCGACAGAGCTACAGGCGGTTGCGCCAGCCCCGAGCTCCAGCGCGCCCCCGGCGCCGCCCCGCACCCGCCAGTCCGCAGGTACCCCGCCACCGTGGGACCCCCGCTTTGCCACTGGGTTCCGCCACCCCGGCCCACCTGAGCCGCCCGCCGGGAAGGAGGCGGCCGAGCAGTCCCAGACCGCGAGCCGCCGCGGCTCCGGCCACGCCTCCCCCGCCCAGTGCGCCCCCGCGCCGGCTGCTCCTTCGGGGCGCCAGCCGAGCCCCACGGATCGGGCCGGGGATGAGGCCACGGTCAGGGCCCCGGGCGGGCAGGAAAGGAGCCCGGGAGCGGGCGCCAGGAGCGCGAGCCGGCAGCAGCACTCGAGTCCAGGTCTGCAATGGGCTCCGAGCTCCGAGTACGTGAAGGGGCGGGGCTTCAGGCTCGGAACGAGGAGGAGCCGAAAGCCTTGGGCCCGAAGAGGAACAGACAGGCTTCGGAAAGGAGGCGGGGTCTGGAACGTAGCGTGAGAGATGAGGCGGGGTCTCCGTTCGGGTTCCTTCGGGCACAGTCGGGAGCTTGAGTTCACTGGAGGTGGGGCCACAAACTTCCGCTCACTTCGGAGATAGTCGAGAACCGAGTGCTGGCGTCGGCGTGGGCGGGGCCACATGTTTCGGTTTTCTTCGGAGATAGTCGAGTCGGGGTCGCCGTTCTGATGTGGGCGGGACCACACGCGGCCGGATGTGGGTGGGGCTACAAGTTTCGGTTTACTTCGTAGATAGTTGGGTATAAGTGACGCTAGGATGATAGGCGGAGTCAACAGGTTCGCCAGATACGGAAGAATATTTACAAAGGGGAGGGGCGAAAGCGACTTGCCCTCAAAGGGGCGGAACCCCGGTGATCGGCGTGCGCCTAGGGGGCGGGGTCGGGTGATGATCCTCAAGTTCCCAAGTCGAGTAGCAGCAGAGGGAGGTGCGCTCGATGTTGGGGGCGGGGGCCCAGGTGGCCACCGCGGGAAGAAGGCGGGGCTCCAGGCCTGTGAGGGGAGGGTCCTGACTTCCCGCGGCGCCGAGGCGGCGGAATGACGAAGTTGACGCGGGGGGTCGACATGGGGAGGGGAGGGTGGAGGAAGCAGAGCGTGGCGCGCGGTGCGTAGTGGGTGGCTCCGCCTTGACTGCGAGTTGGTGTATACGAGGTGACTCGGTGACTCTATCGGTGGACCGTGGGACATTCTGAAGGAAAGCAAGGAAGCGGACTGAGCGCTCCCAAGTGGGGTGAGCCCGCCCGAGAGGAGAGTGGATGGCGGGTGCCCAGAGGGCGGGGCTTTCGGCTGTGGGGTTCGGTCGTGGGGCCGGAACTCCTCAACTGGGGTGCGCTGGCACTTGAAGCGGGCGGGGCCACAGGCTCCGGGACTGCCGGGAGCCGATGACGCCAGAACGTCGAACCCTGTGCGACCGGGAGGGGGCGGGGCTACGTTGTCGGCCGAGCCGAGAGCACCCGAACGCTGAAGGGTGTTCTCACGTTCTAGAAGGGGGCGGGGCGGCGGACTCGGTGGAGTCGAAGACCCCCGAACGCCGAACCTCCCTCTCTAGGGAGGGGGCAGGGTTTCGTACTGTGGGAGTCAGAGCTAGTAGGCCCGAAAGCCGAAATCACAGTGGTTCGGAAAGGGGAGGAGCTAAGACCCGAGCGTCCCGAAGAGGGTGTGGCCTCGGCGTTGCTTTAGCTTCGAGAGCTTTTGATCCCCGACGGGAACACCCGAAGGGGAACACCCGAAGGGGAACACCCGAAGGGGAACGCCCACTTTGCAAGAGGGTGGTGCCAAAATGGACCTTTATAAGGGGGCGAGTGGCAGCGATTGTGGTTTCTTTTTGAGACTGGAAAGCGCAATGGCAGGTACGGCAGTGTGGGCACAGAGCGCGTGCCGACTGCAGGGTCACAAGGGCTGAGCGGGGCTCCGGGGACGCGGCGAGGAGTGAAGGCTATGGGCCAGTCACCTGCGGCCTTGGAGCCTGGTGGGATCGTCCGGGGGCGGGGCCTGGCATTTGGGCCCAGCAGGTGGCGAACAGCGGCCGAGCGAGGCCCCGCCCTCGGGCCTGGGGGCGGGGCTTCGGGGCTTCGCCAGATCCCCGAGGCGCTGGGTGCTTTCTGGGCGGCCGGCAGCGCGCGGCTGTTTCGGTGATCGCTTTGCCTCCCGGCTCCCGCAGGAGGATGCTGGTGGTGGAGGTGGCGAATGGCCGCTCCCTGGTGTGGGGGGCCGAGGCGGTTCAGGCCCTCCGGGAGCGCCTGGGAGTGGGGGGCCGCACGGTAGGCGCCCTGCCCCGCGGGCCCCGCCAGAACTCACGCTTGGGCCTCCCGCTGCTGTTGATGCCCGAAGAGGCGCGGCTCCTGGCAGAGATCGGCGCCGTGACTCTGGTCAGCGCCCCGCGCCCAGACCCTCGGCACCACAGCCTGGTAAGGGGGCGGGGCTCGAACTCCTGGATCTGGTGGGAGCGGGGCCTGAGAGGCCGGATTACTGGCTTCGGAAGGGACCGTAAGCCTGGAGGTTCCAGCGAAGTGTGCTTCTCAGGCCCTGACATCCTTCAAGCGCCAGCAAGAGCAGAGCTTCCAGGAGCAGAGCGCCTTGGCAGCTGAGGCACGGGAGACTCGTCGGCAGGAGCTCCTAGAGAAGATTACGGAGGGCCAGGCTGCCAAGAAGCAGAAGCTGGAACAGGCCTCAGGGGCCAGCGCGAGCCAGGAGGCCGGCGGGGGCCAGGCTGCCAAAGTGAACGACACCAGTGATCTCCAGGCTTCCGGAGAGCAGGAGGAAGCAGGTGAGCGTGGGAGGTGGAGTCCAGGGACCATGGGAAGGAAAGGAGAGATCTTTTGGGAATTTTAGCTGGGAATCCAGTGCCTGGGTCTCCCTGAAGGTAGGAAGACTTTGCCCCTTGCATTTACCAAACTCTTCTCTGTACTTCCACCAGGTTCCTCCTCTTCCCAAGCAGGACCCTCAAATGGAGTAGCCCCCTTGCCCAGATCTGCTCTCCTTGTCCAGCTGGCCACTGCCAGGCCTCGACCTGTCAAGGCCAGGCCCCTGGACTGGCGTGTCCAGTCTAAAGACTGGCCCCACGCCGGCCGCCCTGCCCATGAGCTGCGCTACAGCATCTACAGAGACCTGTGGGAGCGGGGCTTCTTCCTCAGTGCGGCTGGCAAGTTCGGAGGAGACTTCCTGGTCTATCCGGGTGAGTTTGGGTTTGGGGCCTCTGGTTGCTGTGCTAGTCTTCACAATCCCAATGTATTCTGCGGTTTTCCTTTCTTTCTTTTCTGAATAGAGGTGGGGTCTCTATTGTCCCAATTCCTGGGCTCAAGCAGTCCTCACACCTCAGCCTCCCAAAGTGCTGGGATTACAGGCCCAGATGCATTTTTCTTTTTTGTCTCACTTTCTGTTAGCCTCTTTCATTCACCGATGGACAGGAAACATTTGGGAGCTCCCGAAGTCACTGGGCAAGCAGTTTAGCGACTCTTATTAAATGCTTACCGTGATCCAGATTAACTCAGAAGCAGACATGAGGCCAGCACTTTGGGAAGCTGAGGCAGGTGGATTGTCTGAGGTCAGGAGTTTGAGACCATCCTGACCAAGGTGGTGAAACCCCATCTCTACTAAAAATACTAAAACTAGCTGGGTGTGGTGGTGGGCATCTGTAGTCCCAGCTACTTGGGAGGCTGAGGCAGGAGAATCGCTTGAACCCCGGAGGCGGAGGTTGCAGTGAGCTGAGATCACACCACTGCATTCCAGCATGGGTGACAGAGGGAGACTCTGTCTTTAAAAAAAAAAAAAGAGATGTAAGAGCAATCCTCTTAGAAAAAAGAAATTGCCAGGCACAGTGGCTCACACCTGTAATCCCAGAACTTTGGGAGGCCAAGGTGGATGGATCACCTGAGGTCAGGAGTTCGAGACCAGCGTGACCAACATGGTGAAACCTTGTCTCTACTAAAAATATAAAAGTTAGCCAGGCGTGGTGGCACATGCCTATAATCCCACCTACTTGGGAGGCTGAGGCAGGAAAATTGCTTAAACCCAGGAGGTCGAGGTTGCAGTGAGCCATTGCACTCCAGCCTGGGTGACAAAGCAAGACTCCATCTCAAAAAAAAAAATTTCTAGAAGTGTAGTAGTTGGTCCAAGCGTTACCTGTTTTAGAGCATCCATAGGGATTGTTGAAATGATCTCACATCTCCTACCAGGGGTCATTCCTGTGGCTACTACCCCCACCATTGGCCACTGCTTCAGTGCCTTTGTCCCCTCCAGGTGACCCACTCCGCTTCCACGCCCACTATATCGCTCAATGCTGGGCCCCCGAGGACCCCATCCCACTCCAGGACCTGGTTGCTGCTGGGCGCCTTGGAACCAGCGTCAGAAAGACCCTGCTCCTCTGTTCTCCGCAGCCTGATGGTAAGGTGGTTTACACCTCCCTGCAATGGGCCAGCCTGCAGTGAACTCCAGAGACCTAGGCGGATGTGGCTGTGTCTGCGGCAAGAGCCTTTCTAGATGTTCCCAAGCTTTTCCTGGGAGTCTAGAACATCCTCCCACCTTTCTCTGCGGTTAGTTTTTGATTCCAGATTTTCAAACACTACATCCTTATGTTCTTCTTGTCTCAAAGCACTTATTGGCTGTGTTGTTTTGCAGTTACCTGTTTTCACACTGTGAGCTTCCTGAGAATGGGAACTGGGTTCGATTCATCTGTTTTCTACAGGGTTTAAGTCTCAGGAGGTCTCAATAAACTTGTTATCTAAATGTTCATGAGTTGAATTCTTAGTCCTGGAACCTGCTGGTGGTCTTACCTGCATGTCCAGATGGGAAAAAGGCCTGGAGGAGGGGTGACTTGCCAAGGTCGCACAGCTGGTAAACAGCAGGCCTGGCCTTTAAACATTGCTTTTTCTGACTCCTAAATCTGCGCTCTTTCTACCACACTAAACTTCCTTTTGAAAAGATTTCTATGAAACTTCTCAGAAGCATGCATAAATAAAAATATAGGCTGGGCATGATGGCTCACACCTGTAATCCCACAGCACTTTGGGAGGCCAAGGCAGGAGGGTCGCTTGAGGCCAGCTCTGGTAACACTGTAATACCCCATCTCCTCAAAACAATAATTTAAAAAAATTAGCCAGGGATCCCTTAAGCCTGGGAAGTTGAGGCTGCTGTGAGCTGTGATCGCACCACTGCACTCCAGCCTAGGAGACAGAGCAAGAGACCTTGTCTCAAAAAAAAAATGTGTGTGTATGTCAATATGTATACATATGTATGTGTGTATATATATACGCATATACACATCATGAAAGAAAAAAGGAAATGAGAATATTGTAATTTTAGGAGTTCAGAGCATGGGAAGGATGTCAGGAAGGACTCTGGAAGGCGTTCTGCTTTTTCATGGCCTGGGTAGTGGTTCAGAATTTTTTTGCTACTGTACATTTATATTTTAGACTCTTTGGTATATGTTATATTCTGCAACTTTTACAAAAGCTAAAACATGTATATGTATAAAATATGCACTTATGAAATCATTTACCCACGTTTTTGCTTAGAACTTCGTACTGGAACACTACCCCAATCCAATAATTATACCTTTATGTTGTCAACATGCAGTTTTATTTTGTTACGTTTATTTTGTCAGTGTAATACAGTCACATGGTAAAATTCTGGGGCTGAAAGTCTTTAGTTCTTCAATTTCTTTCCCCTATATCTATCTATCTATGTATCTATTTCTCTCTCTCTCTCTTTTCTGTGAATTGAGCAGCCTCTGGAATCAGAATAGGTTTTGAGAGACTTCCATCTCCCCACTTTCTTGCTATTACCAATAAACAGACTTCATAGAATCTCAATTTCCTAAAGGTTTAATTTAAAATATGACACTGGGCTGGGTGTGGTGGCTCCCGCCTGTAATCCTAGCACTTTGGGAGTCTGAGGTGGATGGATCACCTAAGGTCAGGAGTTCGAGACTAGCCTGGCCAATATGGTGAAACCCCATCTGTACTAAAAATACAAAAAAAATTAGCCAGGTGTGGTGGTGGACGCCTATAATCCATCCAAGCTACTCAGGAGCCTGAAGCAGGAGAATCACTTGAACCCAGGAGGCCGAAGTTGCAGTGAGACGAGATTGCATCACTGCACTCCAGCCTGGGCAACAAGAGCGAAATTCCATTTAAAAAAGAAAAAGACACTAACCTCTGTCTGGCCAAGACTCTACTCTTTATGCCTGTTTGATAAGTGGCTTGTAAGTCTATGCTCTACCCTTTCTCCTCTCTACAATAAGTAATTAGATGTCTCAGTACCTCTGTTATGAGTCTCTTCTCTGAAAGGTTTCTCATTCAAAACTTTTGTGGCTGGATGTGGTGGCTCAGGCCTGTAATCCTAGTACTTTGGGAGGCCAGGGTGGGAAGATCAGTTGAGCTCAGGAGTTTGACACCAGCCTGGGCTGAACATAGTGAGACCTCGTCTCTATTGACTGATGTCCCCACGTCATCAGTCAACAAATTAGCTGTGCATGGTGGTGCGTGCCTGTAATCCCAGCTACTCGGGAGGCTGAGGCAGGAGAATTGCTTAAGCCCAGGAGGTAGAAGTGTAGTGAGCAGAGATCACGCCACTGCACTCCAGCCTGGGTGACAGAGTGAGACCTTGTGTCAAAAGGAAAAAA